GGTCGTTTTGGAGCGCGCCGGGATCGACTTTCCTGAAGAGCGCCTATTTCATGGGTAATCGGGATCGAGACGGACGTGTTCCACCGCCGTTTTGGATCAGCTCCCACTCCAGCAATGTTGTAAACGCAAATATTGCTAACAAGTTTTTTTGTTGTTTTTTTTTACATTTGCTGTTTTATGGAGCAAATCGGCGTTACCAGCTCTTGAAGCCGCGCCAAACGGCATCTATACTTCGTCTCACCTTAGTATGGACTATTGTTAGCCGTGCGTGCTAAAAGCGCGAGGTAGTCGCTTTGAATGAAGCTGCGGCGGCTGCACGAGCGCTCGTGCAGCAAGTGCTCTAGTCAAGGCTGTCAAGGCTGGCCGCTCGCGCTAGCACAGCCTTTGCGGTTAGCCCATGCTAGGGTGAGACGAAGTATAGTCTCCTGTCCAATGGAGCGAAGCCTGTAGTCTGTAGCAGCGAAACGGAGAATAAACTCCCCTTGTCTGGCGCGTGCCATGGTGCTGCGGGCCCCCCCCCCCCCCCCCCCCCCCCCGGCGTTGATTTGACCTTTTTCAGAGTTTGGCCACGATCGTGGCGCGCCCTCGCGGGAATCGCTCGCAACACTTTTGGTGGCTCCGGGAACGTTTCTCCGTCGTCCGCGCCAGGCCTGGCTTGTCTCCCGGTCCATGTGTTTGCGTGTGTTCTCTGGTGGTGTTGTTCCGTCCTTCACCAATCTGAACGTGTCTTTCTGTCGTCGCTTCGCGTGCATATTTTCTTCAAAATGGCTGAGAACGACCTAGAGGATTAACAAAAGTCAATGTCTAGGATACAGAGGACATCCTTCGTTTTTATACCTTCAGGGATGGAAGACTGCCGACGCCGCATCGGTTCTTACCATCGACTCGGAGTCACCTCATCGTCACTTCAGTGTCGCGTCTTGCAAGCAACTAAAAAAGGGGTCTGCTTTCAAAGCAGAGTCGCAGAGTGTTATGTAAAGAGAGTAACGGTGACCAGCTTGGATACCGACCCAGCCATCCACCTTGTGCGGAGCTTGTGAGCTCCATTTACGAAGCCCGGCCACTGCAAAAAGCTGTTTTTACTCTCCTTGATCGCTTAAGTTATTCAAGCTTATCGCGTTCGTCACTTCGCCGTCCTGTGTACCGCGCGAGGGCACGGGACATTGCCGTATTCGGGAATGTGTAAACAAACTCGGACGGTGCGAAATCCGGGCCGTCTTGATATCGCGAAGAATTGCCGGCACCGTCCAAATGTAAGGAACGGTATGTTAGAAACAATCCATCTTTGAATTCGGCACGTTTACGAACCTTCAACAAAGTGGGCCCAGCAAATAGAGGGTTTACGGTTGGTTGCCAAGAAATTTCATCAAGAGTCTGTCTCCGTAAGGCTTAAATTAGTTTCGCTGGCTTTAAATGTTTTGTCACTTTTTTTTTAACGTGGCAAGACGCGAGTGTGCATAGCGCACGCCTGAAGAACGGAAAGCGCTATGCTGTTATTTTTTAATTGAGTACCGGGTACGGCATGATTACGTCACACAACCTCGTTTGCACGTTTACTATTAACAAAAAATGGTCTGAGTGCAGGCGAGCTGGTGTAAGTTTAACATGATGGTAAACTTGATATATGAATACATGAAAGCTTGATGGAACACCGAGGACAGGGACGGAAAGAGTACTTCTTTCAAAAAGTCCTGTATCCGTCCCCGTCCTTGATGTTTTATCATTTCATGTATTCGTATCTATTCACCAACACGCTCATTTTCAATTATTAAACCTGAGACTGAGGTACGAAAAGGAAAACGCAAAGGAAAAACGGGCAACGTCTCAAGAGACGTTGCCTGTTCTTTTTCTGTGTCCTTTTGCGTTTTCCTTTTCCTACCCCGATTTCAGGTATATCATCATGTTCACATTTACTGTATTTTAGTTAAAAGCAGAATGTCCCGCCGTCACATCGATGCTCCAGCCACCTGACACAGGGGACTCTCGTCATAGGCAGGACAAAAAGGGCGGGCTGTTTGACATCGGGTGCTTTCCTGCACCACCCGCCAAAGGCTACAAGAACTTTATAAAATTTGGCATTTTAACAATGCTTCCTTCTATTTGTGCAACTTTCTGCTGCGCGGTGGTGAGGCATGACGACTATGAAGCAAAGCCGCGAGAATACCGGAGGAGTCAAGCATAATCAGCACTGCCTGAGCGACCGAGCGGGCGAGAGAACCACCAAAAATGGCGCCTTTCCTTTCCTCTCCTCTCTCAGAGTCGGCGCATGCGCCCAGCGATTTCTGAAAAAGGTCAAATTTTCCACGTGCTGCAGCTCCACTATTCATCGAGATCCGATCACGTGATGAGCAGACTCCAAATGCGTACACAGGAGAGCCACCAGTACGTCCGCTTCGCCGACGGTGCAAACGCCTCGGGGTACATTTTCCCGCTTTTGCCTCCTCCTCTTTTGCTGTTTTCCAGGAAAGGAGGAGAAAGAGCGCTATTCGCCGAATTCAGTCACGTGAGGAGCAGACTCCGAATGCCGTGCAGGAAAGCCGACGCTACGAGGATGAACGCGCAACTCTGACTCCCGTAGGGAACCTATAGACCTTTTTTTCACAACGGCGCCGCCATCTTAAAATATCGTCACTTCCACTATGGGCGAAAACATTGTTTTGCCGTCGCCACGCCAATAGAATGCATTCAGGAGATAAGCGTAAAGGCCCGTTCACACTCTTGCGACCGAGTTAGACCGAGAGAGACCAGACCGGTTTTTAATCCTCTTGCGACTTCTTAGGACCAGCTGCGCTGCAACGCATCCGGTTCTAAGAAGTCGCAAAAGGCTTAAAAACCGGTCTGATCTCTCTCGGTCGAAGTCGGTCGCAAGAGTGTGAACCGGCCTTTAGGCTTATCTCCTGAATACATTCTATTGGCGTGGCGACGGCAAAACAATGTTTCCGCCCATAGTGGAAGTGACGATATTTCAAGATGGCGGCGCCGTTGTGAAAAAGGTCTATAGGTTCCCTATAGACCTTCACCCATTCGCGTTTCGTCTCCTCTCTATTTTTTTACTAGTTGCAGGATGCCCGTCCCCCATTCGCGTTTCGTCTCCTCTCTATTTTTTTACTAGTTGCAGGATATGCCTACTTGGCGGTCGGTGGCGAGAGTAAGCTTGCGGCTGAAGTTTCGCCGCGCATACACAGCGCCACTCCTCCCTTTAGCGATGCGCGCCGATACTTGTTACGAGGAGCAGACGACACGGGAGGCTGGTGCGGTTGTCGTGCTGGCCTCGCGCTTCGTAAAGTAATGTACCGAATGCAAAAGGTACCCAAATGTCACAGCATCGTATTAAACAGAAAGGTATCCGCCTCCCGAAAAGTTTTGTTTGGCTCCTGGGAGGTGATTCAAGAAAGATCGCCGGAAGCATGAATCGCCAGCTGTGATGAGGGCAGGTTTAATTATTGTTTCTCTATCTTGTCGCGTGATTCAGTAATGCAGCTGCGCTTGCTTGTCACATTAAAAGGGACTTTTCGTAGGTCACACGCGAGAGCACGCAGGGGTTTTGCGTTGATGGGGGGCGGAATGAGCTGGCGCCCGTGGGGCCCGCAATCCGACACTGACGTTCTACGACAAGTCCCTAATGTAATTAGCGGAAAACAAACAGCGCAAGGACAAGGACAGAGTGAATGACCAACTAGCCCAACATATGAATGACCAACTAGCCCAATCGTCAACACCCCTAATGTAATAGCTACGATGGTTCTCCATGGCTGTCTACAAACGAAACCCGAATATGCACTTATCATTTTTTTTTTATAAACGACTTTAAATTTAAAGTCGAAGCTCACTTTGCTATTTTGTTTCCCGATGTTAACAAGAGAAAGCGGGAGAAAGCGGCAACAGACTTGTGGACAAATTAGGCAGATAATCGTAGCCCCTATTGCGTACTGACTTGAACGCATAATTGGAAAGAAATTGACGGCTGTGTTCTAGTCTTTCTATATAATATTAAAATGATGTAGTTAGCCCACAACAGGTATAATTAATTCCTAAGGGCGTCACAAATCCCCGGGTCAACCAATTTGAGCGTGTTGGCGATGTTAGATGTTCCTAATGTAATAGCTAGGATGGTTCCCCTAGGGTGCCTTCATGTGCGCTTCGCATAAGAAGGCTCCCTAGGTTCCCCGTGGGTGTCGATAAAATAAACCCGATTATGCAGTTACAATTATTTAAACAAGTTTAAATTTGAGAACCCTGCTCACCTGCTCATGTGCACCGCTAGCTTTGTCTGCACAGTTCCAGGGAGCATTTCCGGAGGCAGTAAGCTAGCGGGATGGCGGCTGTGGTTGCAACTTTCGGTGCCTTGTCAGCTTACAAGTGAACGGAGTACACCTACACTCTTTCTCTTAAATACATTTTATTTTTACAAAGACTACCATAATACGGGCGTAGGAGAAATGAAAAGTAGTGTTGCAGAACAATTTCGAAAAATATCAGAATTGTTTCTGTTTTTTACTGAACAAGTGTACGGAAAAAGTAACGAGAAAGTAATTTGTAGCGTAACGAGTAAAGTAATCTGTTACTTTTCAGCGAAAGTAATTTGTAACGGTAATCCATTACATTTGAGGCTCGGTAATTTGTAATTGTAATCCATTACATTTTTCAAGTAACCAGCACCAAGTCTGCCCGTACCGAATCTCCCGCGCTCGCCGCACCCCGACCCTTACCCATTCCCGCCCTAGATGGCGCCAGCCGTCCACCCCGTCCCCCTCTCTCTAACGTTAACCCCGAAAACTCCAAGAGTGCCAGCGAGGGGTTGGGGAAAGCCTTTTGTTCAGCCGCACGCTACACTCATCCCAGCGCGGAATGCGCGGCGAGACCCACTCTTGCCGGTCCTCCTCTCTTCCCAGGTGGGACGACAGAGAGAGGGCCCACACCGAGAGGAGGGCCTTCAGCGAGCAGCGGCGCTACCGGTTTGGCAGCTCCAACTGCCGCTTCGTCGTCGCACGCGTGCTCTCGGGCGCTCCTCAGTCGCGAAGGCAGACTCGGTCGGCACCGTCCGTACCGTACCGTACTCCTCGATGGCCGTAAGGCCGTTCCGATAGCCCTCGCACGGGACACGTCCAGGAGTGACAAGACGTCGGGCCGAGATCGAGGACGGCGATTGCGTTAGGGGACAGGTCCTCTGGTTTCCAGTTCTTCTGGTCCTTTGTCCACGTCGCCAGCTGGTTGGTTGCCCCGCAGAGAGAGAACCATACAAGACAAGCGGTGGCGTGCTCCGTTTTGCCCGAAACTGTGTCATCGGTGAAAAGGAAAATCGGCCGCTTCTCGAGACCGCTGTGCGACACCTTTAACTGCAGTGAACTGTGGTTGTTGCTTTCCTGGACCTTGTTCGCGATCCTCGAAGACATCAAGTTAAGTTCCTCGGGGTTAAGTTGTGCTGTTTCCTTGAGGAGATCCCGGCAAAACATCGTGTCCTCTCGTCCTGTGGTTGTTCTGACCGTGAAGATGTGTAGTAGTCGGCAGATGTGTTGACAAGGAGGGAAAAGTTTAGTGGTGGTGGTGTGTTCGTCATCTGGAGTTCTAGCATGCGGGACTCCCAGGGGCGGCAGCGGACTACTACCGTCGAGTGTTACCAGCTCCGGACACTGAAGGCATCGAGATGAAGCTCACATCCGGCGGGATGCTGACCCCGACGGTGCTTCTGCATGGATTACTCGTGCTGCTGATTGCCCCCGTTAGTCGGGTAAGTGTTAACATGCTTCGTTATTAGCACCCGGTTACTCCTCACCTGATGTCTTACTCAATACTTAACGGGGACGTAATAAAAATATTTCGTTACTTGAAACGGTGCTACACATCATTGCCTGTGCACTGGTGCTTGCCCTTTTCACCTCTGAGTAAGCACAGATACCAATAAATAGATAGACGTCTGCCTTGAAAGATAGAGGACATCGTGTATTGAAGGTACAATAATGCAAACTGCTGCCGGTGTACAACACGCATACAAATATCTGCTGTACCGCATCTGTCGGCGATCGTAGAAGTAGTCGACGTATATTTTACTTGAGTTATAGTTTTATGAAGTCATGTCATCTGCCGACGTTCATTGCACATCCACTGATATCCCGTGTCTGACAACTCTGAGAAGGTCCTTCGCGGTTGACCCCGGATCTCTGCTCCCACAGCCAGATGTATAACCATGTCAATGTTACACTGTAACTTAGACTTGCTCTTCGACTCCAATGGCCAAGAAAATGTTTGCTCAGGACGTCACTAGTCTCTCAACTACGACTTGGACGTTCACAGACTCCAATATCGCTGTATGGCGTGTCGTGTGCTTTTTGACAGCATTTTCATCAGCAAATATTAATGGAAGGCCATGAGTCTAAACCACTCATTGAAAGAACAGTAAATATAGCGATCCCAAGGCAATCAAGTCAAGCACTATTTAAAGTTCTGCATGATATTCGAAAAATTTAATAAAATTACAAAACCATGTCATACAATTATTACGATATGCATTGATAGATAGGTGCAGTGTGTGACCATTTATAGTTTGTGTTTATATATCCGTGCGCTATGTTTATTTTTGATTGGTCTATGGCATTAACTATGTGCTTCACTCAACACAAAGATGCACTGCTAGGTAAAACATAACTAATTTTGTGTAGCTCTGCTAAAAGAAATAAAAAAAGGCTTACAAACTCGTTCATAAGACAATTCTCAACAAGATCTAACATTAAAGTCGTGAACTTCCAGTCGTCTCCGTATCATGATGCAATATGCACGACATACAGATCAGCACACAACCAGGGGCGTATAACTTAAGCTATGACCGATATCATGCCTGCAAAGACAGGGCATGCAAGTGTCACTTTCGAGGCGTCGGACGAGTTCCACTTCCATGAGCCACAGCTGGAATTCGCGTACGGAAGAACTGACTCTACGTATAAGCAACACATTGTAGCTCCAGAGAAGAGACATCCTCATTTGTAATCTCTCAATGACACCTAAAGTGACACAGGCTGCCAGAAGCCACTCATCACTTTCTTCTGTCGCTTACGTCCATCGTAGCTCCCCCGGAACAATAGCGCATCGACGGAGTGAGGGTAGTTTAGCGGAAGGTTCGCTGATCGGCGCAAAAACCATCGGCATGACCGACTACGTGACGTCGATGAAAGCCACCTGTTGCTCGGGCGGAAAGTTTATTGCCGTTTTCAATAACTCCGATGGGCAAGGGATGACTATGAGAAATCAGGTGAACTAACAACGTTCCCCTGGGTAGTAGTCTTTATGCGTATATGACCTCGAAAGCCTTAAAGAAACTGTCTTATCAGCTGCCACTTTGATACTTGCACAAGATGCCTGTCTGCTCTATGGCGAGCCCCAGGGTCTTATTAATACTTTATAGCCAATGAAATGGCGGCATTGTAGTTTTAAGGACTCCTAAGAACCAATCAAGAAGTGAAATATAATAGGCCACGCCTTGACTTGCTTGTGCTTGCGCCCAGTTTATTTCTTCATACGTTGGTCCCGTAACCGTTATCCGTCTTCCATCAGATATCTCCTGTCGTGCATTTGCGTTGTCTCGTAACTCACACGTCGTGCCGGTACTTTTTTTATTTCCCCTCGGCTGTTTATCATTTTGAGGACGACCTTCTAGCTGCCGACCATTACAATGTCGAAATCCGGTCACTTTAATAGTCGCGGCGATACATTCCGACACGCCATATAATGCGAGCCGATCGAGCACGGGACAACACAATAGCACCGCCGCCGTCGGGGCAAGGCCCAGCGGCGCGCACAAAAGGCGCCGGGCTGCATACGGCCGAGCTCCGCAAAGATCCGTTCCTGACCCCGATTTCGAAACCAGCTTACTTCCTCGCAAACAGCGCGGGCTAAGGAGCGAACACCCCAAGGTTTGCTCGATCGCCACCTATGCTATGCGCTGGAAACTCTGAGGGAGAGGAGAAGACGAGAGCGGCACAGAGACGTCAGAACGCCGGGCTCGAACGATTCGTGAATGTAGGCCTAAAGCTATAGCTGCCTTTGTCTCCACTGCCCTCATCAAACGCGATCGAATGCGGGAGTCGAACGCCGGACGCCAGCGTTCCGCATTCTAGCGCGTTCGACGAGTGCAGTGGAGAGACAAATTTAGGCAACCAGCTTTAGGTCTACCCACTAATCAATCAAATCAGAGCTCGGCGTTCTCAGTTCCTCGCGCGTTCTTGTCTCCTTTCCTTCCTCCGTAACTCGGCGGGGTTTCCAGATTATGTCACGGTTGCCGCCGCTAGATAACGGCTTGAACGAACCAATGGCACCTAAAAGGCAAGGCCTGCACCGTTTTCCCCCCCACGTCATCACAAGTGGAGCCGCTCAGCGCCGCCTATGCGAAGAGCAAGTCGTCTGTTTCTTGCGCAAAAGTTGCGGTGACGTCACAACGACGTCGAGCTCCGATTGGCTTTGATTGAAAGGATAGTGGGTAGTCCTCAATGTTGCATGCCTTGAGGTCTACACTCTAAAAGAAAAGGGTGTAAGTCTAAACCCCCCCCCCCCCCCAAGAGGGCGACGAACGTGTCACTGTGGACACTTCCTTAAGGAGGGTGGAACTTTACGCCCTTGCATGGGGGGTAACCATGCACCCTCTAGGAGGTAATATTAAACCTTTTGGAGGTAAGAGAACATGGATGAAGAGCCTTTTTTTACCTCCTTCTGGTGGTAACTTTAACCCCTTTTGGGGCTAACATTGCACGTTTTGTGGAACCCTACACACTGGCTTAGGGGGTAACTATGCACCCTCTAGGAGGTAACCTTAGTTGGAGGCAAGAGTACGTGCATAAAGGATCTGTTTTTACCTCCTTTTGGGGATAACACTGCGCGTTTTGAGGGCCTGCTGTTACCTCTTTTTGGGGGCAACTCCCATCCTTTTTGAGGGTAACACTGCATGTTTTAAGGCTGTTTTTACCTAATTTTGGGTATAAGTTACACTCGTGTTCTGCAGCACTTCCTGGTGCAGAACTTCCACCCCTCCTGAAGTAAAAGTTCTGTACCAGGAAGAGGTGAAGTGTTGTTTGGAGACAACCTGCCAACACAAATGAAAAACCAGCACATCTAGTTTCAATACTGCTTCAGTGAAAAAATATAATGAAATTGGATTGCAAGATACGCTCGGGAGGTGGTATCTCGCAAATATGCTCCACTCCAGAGGCAGTAATAAAATAACATCTTCACAGGGGAGGACAGTGCTTATTCTGAGCGTGGATGACGATGCGCTTTTATTGCAAGTCACAAATATAGCATATCATTGCTCAAAACACTCACAAATAAATTAAAAGCCTGCTACATTTCAAAATTAAAGAACAAGACATGTACGTAACACCAGAAATTAGCATAAAACCTATCTAAAGGCTGCCTAACATTTCTTTGCAGGAAACCCCATTTGCAAAAGGCAAAAAAAAAAAGCAATATATGACTAGCAGTGACTCACCTTCACATGGCTAGCACTTACTTCACCTCCACCCTTAAAAGGCACAGGCCATCCTCCTGATCTATGTCCTCATATTTAAAAGACTCAGGCCATCCTGATTTATTTCAGACAAAAAAGGAAAACAACGTTAAACATACTACATAAAAATTCCTAAACTTGAATTAAAAGGACATTCAAAAAGAAAATCATTTTTGCATTTCTGTTAGGTTTCAAAGCAATGTGGTACACATAACTCCAAATATTGAATGTCTCAGACCGATTAAGTACTCGAGCGCAATAAATGTGCGCCTTAACTTGTGATGGTACTCAAAGTTAATGATGGAGTAGAGGCAGAATCCTCAGCTGGCGACGGGGCTTAGAGGTGTCTCCCTCCACTGCCACGGCCACGAAGCTGGGCACCTCTCGATTAAGTGGGCTTGAGCTGACAGCCACCGGGTAGCTTGCACTGCCTGCCTGGAACCATATAAATGGGGAAATCATGTGATATGAAATTGAAACCTGTTGCGCTCGGCAAACATGCTCTTCTCGCGCTCCGGAGAGGTGAAATTTCGCTGTTCCCTCCTTTTTAATACCTTTTTTTATGTTGTTTTGTTTTGTCTTTTACTCAGGTAATAAGAGTTTGCCGTTCTAAAATCATAGCGACCCCTGTGCAAGATGGACGCAAGTCTGTCGCTCTGCGGCGATTCCCGTCGATCTTCGGCGTGTTTGCCGCTTGGAAGTTGGGGCGGGTCGGGGGCCCACTAATGATGACGTCATGCGCGGGGCCTTGTCTTCTAGGTGGTATGGTGAACCTGGGTGAACCAACACGACAGTGCGCAGTGCAACCGCGTTGGAGGTCGGCGGCGCCTGCCGCGCGGTGCCAAATCGGGGTGGTTTACACTCCACAGGGCAATCGGGGCAAGTTCAATTCGATTAGCGCCCGAAGTTCGTTTGGAAGCCCAGTTCCTGGTAACGGTTTTCGATGTGTGTGCACTTCCAAACGTCCGCCGTTCTCCTTGCATAAAACTCCAGTCGAGGGGTTCGTAGCAAAGCGAAACATTTCTCTTTTTTTTTTTTTTAATGTGTAATCTCATCATACTTAATTCTGACTACATGCAAACGAGAGCTCATTATCGGTGCCCTAGCGTAAGAGATTAGTTGTTCAGTCACATTTTATTCTTAGGAATGCACATATCTACATAAACGATGCATTGAGTGAGTGGCAACATAGTATGAGCGCGCAGAATTGCAAAGATAGTGCAATGTTTTCAAGTAAC